CACCGAGAAGATGGAATCCTAACAAAGGTAAGAACCATACAGTGCCACACCATGGGACTGCAGGAGGAGGCTTACCTAAGAATGGGTGTCCTGAGCATGGTGTAAAGTTTTATGAATCCAAAATGCTTTGCTTAAAATCAAGGTGCTCAGCTGGAACTATTTACTAAAAACTAGAAGAGGTGAAGTGATGATGTACAAGGTTGATAACAGTCTGAAACCAAGTATTTTTATGTTGAACTGCATGAGAAGCAATGAAGGTTTTTACCCTCCTCCTCCCACACAACATTTCTACCAGAGAGTTCTATTTCAGTTCTACAATATGCATGCCTTAAGCCTTGTGAAGTCTCTGCCTGCATGACAATGAAGTTGTGATAACATGCAATACCCAAACTAACCTTGTTGTTCTGTCTTCCGTGAGAAGTTCCCCACACAGCCTTTTTTCTCAATAGCTCTTCCAAACACTGGTGCTTGGGGAAAAAGGATCCTACATACTACTGTGCTCATCTAAAGTATCTGTAGGTCATTTTTCAAAAATGGAAGCGTGGTGTGATGTTAAAAAACATAAACAGGAAGAACTGGGGAAAGATAAGCACTTCCTTATGGAGGAGCAATACACAGCCAGAAAGCTTAAGCTCAGTTTCACACCACAGAATTAATTACAATAGAAGCTGGATGGCCCAGCCCATGTCAAATCCTAGCTCATGAAATTCTTTTTCATATCTGTATACTCTGGATACCTTTGCTGGAAGAAAGTTTCTTCCACATGCTTTGACACAAGGATGTGTTCAGTACATTCAGGGAGTACCCTAGTGATAATGTTGAAGTACAGATCTTCCTGGTCTGTTCCTTTTCACCTGATTCAGCGTAAGTTAAAAAGGCCTAATCTGCATTCCCTCCACAATGTTCACAGTGGGTTTAAAAGCAGTCAGGACTGCCTTCTTCCAAGGGAATGGCTAAGCTGTGTGAATGAAGATCCAGCCATGAAATACTTCTGTATCAATGCAGTGTTTGATAGGCAGGTGAGGAAACCAAATGATACCTTTTCCTAGAAGCATAAAGAAAAGGTTACTGTATAGCTATCGTTAGTCCATTACTTCAGTAGCTTGTTTAGTGCCTTCTCTCCCCAACCCTCCCCCCCCACCACCTTTTTGTATTAATGCAACCTAAGAAACATCCATGACTGTGTATCAGATGTGTCATTCTCGAGGTAAACAACTGACGTGAACTCAGTGTTTGGAAGAGCTTTAATCTAAGAGCAAGACCGCGAGGCCTGGTTCCATGTATGTGACCCTATGACTTCTGTTCATTTTTTACAGTTAATATGCAAAGTGTCTACTTTAAGAGCACTGTGTGGACGACATACAGAAAAGCTTATGGCATTTAAAGCAATATACCCAGACATTGTACGACTTCATTTTCCTCCACTTTACAAGGAGTTGTTCACTTCAGAATTTGAGCCAGCGATGCAAATTGATGGGTAAACGTATCACCTAAGCACTTCTAGAATGTCTGAAGTACAAACAGTAAAACAAAAGAAAGGAAAAAATTAAAAATTAAAAAAAAAAAGAAAAGAAAGAAAGAAAACCAAGACACTTTATGTGGCCCTGCACAGACCTAGGGAGCCAACACACTGCACATCTCTTGGCGGTCGGGGTCAGGCGAAGGATGGGAAACAATGAAACAAAGTTGAACTTGTTTTTCTCATGCATATGATTTCCATTATGCCTACAAATATGGACCCTTTTTCTGTCTCAGCTTCTCAATCTTTGACCTCTGTTTACACAGACTGAGGGTACTCATGTCAGAAGGTTGTTTTCTCCTGTAGTTCACTGCCCAGACTTTTGACAGAACAATCAATTTGTTGATCAGAACAGAGAGTCCACCTAGTAATCAGCGACTGGTGTGCATTGCAGAGATTTCAGCATCAGTTTGCACAACTTGCTCATTGTTTCATGAAGGACGATTTTTTTCACCTACCACTGTTTGCCAGTAGACAGAACGGCATGAAAAGGGTCCATAGCAATAGCAACAATAGCATTATAATATATTACAGGGTAAATGGGCATGAAGACTATATATAGCAAAAGAGATATTGTTTATATATTGTTTTAATTAATATAAAATGTAGTTACTGGTATAGCTTTTCTTGTTGAATTGATAAGGCACTTTCATTTTGCACCTTTTTCTTTAAATTAAATGCTAGCGTGTTCATTGTTGTGTTGCATGTGCACCAGAAATTCAAGTTTAACTGAAAAAGGTTTGGCAGGTACTAGTACGTATACGTTGGGAGGTATTTATGCTGCTGTTTTCCATGTTACTCTTAAAGAGAGGCTGGTCATATCCTGAAACGGTTATAGAAATATTTTTTTTAATTGAAAATAATGACAACTTTCAACTTAATTAGTTGAAAATAATGACAACTTTCTGAATTAAAATCAGCTTTTCAGCTGCTAAATTCAAGGTACTTTTAGTTTCAGATCTTTCAAACCTGAATGTTTAAAATGACATGCCGAAATTCCAAGTTAGGTGCACAAGTCAAACGCCTCATTTTCAAAGGTGCTGAACTTCCGTGCTCAAAGTTAAAGCAATTACAGAACAGCTACAAACCAGTAATGTGCACCCTTGGAAATCAGGCTATTTGAAGTGTATTTCTGCCCACCATCAATCCAGGTTTGAAGGTAGTTACTCAAGTCTGTATCTACAGTAAAAGTATGCGTATATGACGTGTATGTAGAAAAGTAATTTTTATATACAATTTTACATACCTTGTACTCCATATTGTAAACAATGCATTCAAACTCCACACTCCAGCCTATCAAAATTCACAGAAGTCAAAATTCATAGTCTTTAACTTCAGTGAGGTGAGACACTGACCCCTGTTCTTCTAGCTCTCAGCACTGCAGTTTCAGGCAGCTGACCAGAGAAGTCCATTGGTCTCCTTATGTAAAATACGCACTTTAAAGTTTATCAGATGAGGACAGACTAACAAAGTAAAGGCACGCGGTTTGGCTGTACTCTGTGTAATGCCAGGAAATTGTTGATATTATAGATCTGCATTCTGGAATTTTGATTCCCATACTGCATAACCAACTAATAAGCTGAATCTTGCAGTCTTTATCAGTCCTTATTATTGCCAATTGTCCTTCCCTTTAGGAAGAAACTCTCTCCAAACAGATGTGGCAAGTAAACCTAGTTCTGAAGGCAGATTCACAGTAACCGACATCACAAAATACACTGGGACTAGCTGAGCCAGAGGCGTGTCGTTGGTTTGGATGAGATAGATGTGTAACTGGATGCCTTAGAGGTCGACACAAATGAAGTTCATGACGAAGTATGTAAGAAAAAAACCCAGGAACTTTAAAAACCAGTAAGGAATGAGACAGAATGTGCTCGATGGGTTTGATTGCTTACGTTTAGTATACTTGTTAGGTAACAGAAGTGAACAGAACCACTCTGAAGCCTATTTTTAAAAGGAGGATTGGGTCAGTGGGTTACTATAAACAAAACAGAGGTTTACTCTATGATTTGAACATGCTTCCTGTGGGATCAAATTGAGGCATTTAGACATCATGCCTGTTAAAAATGTCACAGTCTGCCACATCAGGGAAGCTTACAGCTATTGCTCACCTCTGCAGTTTGAAAGGAGGGGAAATGAGCAGCTCATATTTCCCCTTCAAAGCAGTATGCTTGTAGTGTGGGAGGGGAACACCTACACCTCCAGGAGCACTGGGATGGAGCCATGAGAGTGCTTGCGGGGAAAAAGCCCACAGAGACGTGCTTTTCCTGCTCCATGCTGCCTGCTGCGGCGGCGGCAGCTCACAGCCAGCACAGCCCCCCCCCCAGTCCCTCCAAAACCCTGGTCCTAGCAGCATTGTTTACTTTACTGGAGTAACTGGCATGATACAGTACTTGCATTCTAACATGTGTTCCTGTTTTTAAAGATGCCCTTTTAACTAACAAATGTTTTCTGAATGTGACCAGCCTTAGGTGCTAGTCCTGTAAAGATCAACTAAACTTAATTTCAGTGTCAACTAATGAATAATGAAGTAAGGCCTATACTTTAGAGAGTGAGATACAACTCCTACTTCTGACAATAAGTAGACTATCAGGCAAAATATCTGGGGATTAATTTTCAGTCGCATCCTTTCCTTACCTTTTCCTGATGAGTATTAGTACTTTGCCAGGCAGCTAGGTGCCAGTGGTTTTGTTTGGTATCTAGTTCAGCATATTTACACCTGTAAGTCATTGACAACAGATTTTTTGAGCACTTACTAACACCATGACCATAAAAAAGGCTCGATAGGGCCTTATCTGAAAGCCTTTTGCATCTGAAAGCAGCTTGTGACATGTTCTGCTAGGCCAGAAAGTGCTGTCACTTTTGTCCGTGGGAGCTCCTGTGTACTGGCAAGGTGTTAAATCAGGCTGTGCATACACACCCCAGGTAACTCTGCTTTCCTACTGCTGCCAACCGCCATAGTTGGGGCCAGTGGGTATTCACGAGTCTTTCCATAGTCTGCACAGCTCACTACAAACAAAAACATGAGGACAGCTGAAGATAAAGGAGTCATCTATTCTTTTTTGAATGATCTGTTCCTAAAAGTGAAAAACAGATTTTCATTGGGTGCTACATCTATCCACAGAGCTGTTTTCTGGCTTTCTAGGAAAGAGAGACTGCACTGTGCTGTCCTTTGAACCACCCTAATGTACTCCAACATCTCCAGCATTGTTTGATGTTTTAAAAACAATGGGATTAGGTGAAAAGGGAGGCTGGTTTTAAGTTTGGTTGTTCTTTATTAAAGCTTACCTATCTTAGTGTGGATACCAAGATATCTGTGTGTGTATGTGCACCTCTGTGCGTGTGTGTGTGTGTGTGTGCGCGTGTATGTGTGAGTACCTCTGTGCGCACGTGGATGGACGTGTGGTACGGGTGAGTGCCTGCTTCTTGGCTGTTACGTGTCAATGGAATAAAGAAAATGTATTAAAAATACTTAAGTCAAAAATAGAAGGTGGAAAAAAGATTTATTCTATACAAAGCCTTGTCTGGACCACTTTAGAGAGACTTCTATTTTTTTAACCCTTCTATAAATGTTTGATGGCACTTGAAATATTCCTGCAATAAAATGTGATTTGTGTAAACAAGAAAAAATTTTGTAATGTGAAACAATGAAAGAAAGTAATGTAATTTTTCTAAAAAACAAAAAAAAAAAAACCACAAACGAACGAACTTTGTATTATTTTCTTGATGGAATTTGTCTATTTGTCTTTGAAAAACTTTTTATTTCATTGAATGTGCCATAGTAGAGGTGTGTTTTTCTTTTTTTTTGTTTTCTCGTTGTTTTTACATTCTAGCCTAAAGGAATAGCTGTGTTCCGACATTCCAAAATGCAAGCTGACATAGCGGTCACGATTAAACGGTTTGATTAGTAAGCTTCAATCATTGTTGCTTTTTTTGCACATGTTCTTCATTCCTCTACAGTGCAATATGTACATAGAGCACTTGCGGGTGTAACCTTGATCCCTCAGGGAAAAATACATATTTGTACAGGATTTTTCTTTTTTTTTTTTTGCCTTTTTTTTTTTTCCTAAGGAATGTCGACTGAATCACTTGTCTGTTGTTGAGGGGCAGCCAGATAATAATCCTAAACCACTGTCACAAAACGTTGTTTAAAATTTGTGCCCTTTTATTATTTAAAAAAAAGAGAAATAAAAGCTATTTTCTGACAGTTCTTTGTGCTGATTGGTGACAAAGGGTAAATAGCTAAGCACCTTATGATTGACTTAACTGTGAATGACAATCCATCTCGCTATCAACAACAGAAAGCCCTATCATTTTGGAGCTGGGGTTAAAAGTCAGAAACTAATGTGCTCAGGGATCTTCTAAAGCTCTTCAACAGGGTGGCCAGTACTACTGGTGGAACAAATTACATGTTAAAAAATACTGATATTTTTTCCCTTCTCCCTCCCCCCAGGCACAAGAGAACTGGATATTTTTCTTTTCTTTTTAACTAACTGCTCTATGCGTGCCTCATTCCCTTACTTGGTTTTGGAGCAGAGCTGCTCCTAGGTCTGTTTTGTTCAAAACAAAAGTACTCCAAACAGCGCAAAGGTTTTGTAGTTATATTTTAGAAAACAAATTAATGCTGACCCTTAAACGAATGACTGAAATTAATTTCAATACCCTCGAGACATTTTTATAATGATAGGACTGTTTTCCCAGATGAATTTCAGTGTTTTGGAGTAGAAAATGAGGTTTCAGTATTTAAATTATTGTCAAAGAAAACAAATCATTTTATGATAGTGCAATAAGAATGCAAAGGGGATGATGAGGTTTCGGCAATGAAGTCACATAAAAGGGAACCTAGATCTGCAGGAATAAAAGAACAGCACTGCAGACACCGTCTGTCAGTGTTACATATGATTCATGGTAAAGCAAAAAAACTGACTGGAAAGAAACACTGAGGCTGAAGACATTTTCACACCTAGTGCATCAAATACAGCAATGCCAAGTGATGAAAATGGCATAAAATGTCTAGGAAGTCTCCAAGTGCCAAATTGTAGGATTTGGGAAGCCTGACCCAGTTAGCCTTGGTTTAGGGCTTCACATTTTGAAAATACAAGTAGAAAAGTGAATAAGCAAATGCAAACAGCAAAAGCAAGACTTCCAGACTTTCATTAGATTGGGAAGAGAGTGAATTTCTCATCAAGCCTGTCTGCTTGCAAAAAGCATCAGTTCTCCAGTTTCTTAAGTAATTGAGGGTTTTTTCACTGGATATATGGGTTCCAGTTGTTTATTTTAGGTTGCTTAATAGATAGGGAAATTTTTCTTACAGCTTTGCAAGCTGACAGTCGAGTTTAGCTTGGCTTGGCCTTCCGAGGCAGACAACTGCTTAGCAAATACGACCTCTTGGATCAGCGGGTGTTCTGGCTGCTTCAGCAGAAGAAAATTCCTATTGCTGATTCACAGTAGCACCTCTTCTTTACATACCTGCGTATCAATTAAACAGACTGTTAGTACGTACAATCTATGAGATGTTTTAACTATGTAGTGGGGTGATCGCTTTTTTGGGATTGGCATGGACGTTCCCCAATCTATACTTGATGAACAAAAACCTGGTTGCCCAGTATAAGCTGTGCAGACAATGTGGTGGTTTTTTTTTTTCTCTACACATTCCTAAACTTGCCAATGTAAATGTAATTATTTATATAAATGTCAGAAACAGCATTTACTATCCAATATCCAAAAATAATAAGCAATTTTCTCTTGAGTATTCAGTATATGACATTCTGCCTGTGCTAGCTGATTCAGATTGCACAAAACACCTTTACTTTCCTTAGCTGGAGAAAGATAAGTATTCGATTTTTTTTTTTCATTATTAATACTAATATTTATTACAAGTTTCAACCATGAATAGATTTGAATATTAGCCTCCTGTTTTGTTTATACTTAAGTATTCCTGTCAGTAAATCATTTGGTGGAAATGAGGGCAAATGCATACAGATACCAAATACCACAGCAAAAAGAGAAGTTTTAAAACTTAAATGAATATTTATTTTAAAATCATTGCAGTATGTGCTTTAATCCTAGTACTGTGATAATAGCTCGCTAAATAATGCTGAGTCACTGGACTTGAGGGGAAAAATACGTAAGATTTAGGATAATACACGGTCTATCTTTGGAACTTTATTCAGGTACTAAACACAATTGTAACATCAAAATAGAAGCTGTATTCTACCTTTTGCATATGTAATGTTGCTGGTTAACTCTTTTTTTCTTGCCTTTATCATTGGTAGAATATAGCAATAACTTCGTAGCAATAAGTAGGCTATCCAAAAAAGACACAAAACATGATAAAGGCTTCAGATCAGTATGCGTAGATTAATTTATTCTGCCACAATATTCACTTGTATGTCTTCCCTCATAATCTTATTACTTGTTCAAGCTGAATTTCACAGTCAAGGTCTTCAACTTGACACGTGGCATCACACCTTTCTGTTAACATCTGCATGTTTTGGGTGTTCATACGTCCTTTGTATATTTGTTTTCCTGTAAGTCAGTGTTTCTCAAGGTTTCTGAAAGCACGGTCCTTCTGGGCTCTATTTCTTCATGGGACTCTGTGTTGGAATTAACTTTTTCTGGGCAGGGAATGCGAACCAGCTGTAATTACTGGCGGCATTTCCTAGCTGGAGGAACTGAGTGCTGCTAGTACTTACCAACATCACAGATACTGCAAATGCTTGGTGCTTGCAGCCAAGAGCTAGCTCCTCCGGGCTGGGGGGGGGCTGAGCTGCATCCAGCCAGTGAGTTCCACTTGTCTGCAGCCAGTACCACCACAGGCTCTGCGCTGGAGAACCAAGCTGCTGCACTTCACCTAGAGCCGAGCTACACTTGCCTGACACAGTGTTTTGATAATAATCTAAACACTTTGGCAACTTTCAAATGGTTGTGACTTTCGGTTTGAGAAACACTACCCTAAATTACCCCACAAAGTCTTAATGTAGATGCACAAACTTTACAGGAACTTGCAATCTGTAATGCTATCTACATCTAATGCAGAGAATTCATAAGCAATACAGTGAATTTTATTTCACAAAAAGGCATACGTACTGTACACCTAATTCCAAAATGTTCCTCATTTCTACATTGATTTAGAAACAAGCTACATAACAGTGGTGAATATTTGAACTATTAGGACATTAACTGGCTGCTTCTTTATATGTACCTGTATTGTCTGCCTGCTCCTTTTCTGGAGACGTGTTTTTGTATTGGATGTTTGGGCCAATGGGAGGCTTCAAGCTACAATGTATTTTCCCAGAATAAATATATTTAACGTATGACAAACCCCAGACAAGGCTTTTTAAAATGTATAAAGAACTGCAGTGTTAGGTGGTTTCTTTGCAAACTGTTTTCAATGTTGTCCATTTTTATGGCACCTTTAACAATATTCTTGTTTCCAAAGTACAAAAAAAAAAGGTTAAAAATACTCTAGCCATAACTGAATGTCAAGCAATAAAAACAAATGACTTTTTGTGCATAGATTTAAAAGAAATACAAGTTTTAGACATCTGCATGTAAATGCAATCTCTTGTTTACTGCTTTCTTAAACTTGAGCAATTGATTCCTTATTTTACTACTAATTTAAGGACTTGTAATGGCCTGTAAACATTTTATCTTGCTCTATTCTTTCAACTCTAACTTCGTCTCTGCTTTGGAGTCATAATATTTAATGTTGTTCTGCTCACCTCTATACAGTTAACTTTTTGCTTTCATTCTGTATAGATAAAGTTATACTATAAACAGCCTACACAGTGCAAATATTTATCTGTTTATCAAATACCACATTATGCTGTATAATATCTGTTTTACTATATAATCTATTTTAGACATAGCTGTTTAGAACTAGAGTGTGCTATTTTTGTGTTTTTCTGATGTGTGGTGCTAGATAAGTTACTTTTGTGAACAAAAGCAAACAAACCCCTTTTATTCCTAGACAATACCACCTTTGGGTCTTGTTAATTTCACTGAGTATAACTATATATAAATATATATATTTGTGTATATATATATATACACCAACATATGCCCAACAAGTACCTGTATCAGAGTACAAGATTTGGGACATGGTTTTCTCTTTAAATGCATAGTGTCATTATATAAATTATTCTACAGTATATTTAATAAGGAGAAAATTACTTCACTGGTACAGATACTTGATATCAAATGTAGAATTTTTTTCTACATTATTAACATTATTAATTATTAACGTTATTAAAAATGTTCTGTCCAGCTTGTTATCCTTTTGATTACTAAAACAGTCTGTCTGTATTGTATCAGAAAAAAAGAAAAACATCTAATCTGCCAGGATAAAGTAATTGCAATATGTTGTCTGTCTGAAAGGGAGGTAGTTACTTGGCTTTTGGGGAGAATTCTATCCTGTCGTTGCATCTGGTATTTATAGATGTTATTCTGCTGGGTGCCTTCCTCCCTCTTCACTTTAAATAGGATCTGTACACACTCAAATGCGGATGTTACTAGGCCGTGCTGACACACTTAACTCCAGTTACTGTAAATAGGAATGTTCTGTACATCTTCCATCATAGATGGATGGCTGAATTCAGTCCTTGGATATGCTTTCTAAACCGTGCATACACATCCCAGGACAGCCATTAGCACCTACAGCTAATTAAGAAGTGGAATTTGCAACGTTTTGTCAGGTCTGGGGGTTTTGTTTTTATTTTGTATGTATACCTTAATTTACATAGTCATGTACCCTTAAAAGTACTCCTGTCCCCTGTTCCTTTCATTCTAAGATATTGTTTTCATGTTAATTCTTAAAAACTCATGGATATCAAATATCTAACTATGGAGGTAATTAACCTTTTAAATATTTATTAGATTTTTTCTGTAATATTACTGAATTTATAAGATCTTTAGCAAAGATTTTTGAGCAATTTATTAAATACAATGTTTCTGTTTACTGCACTTTTTGATAATAGAAGGTAGTGAATTTTAAAGCCATGGTTCTTGGCTTCCATGCACTGCTTTTATACCCTCAATCCAAGGAATATATATATATAAATAATTTTTTTTAAACAGCAAACATACTGTTGTCCTAAAAATAAATACAAACTTTACCGCACCGTGGGTATATTTTCATAAGTGGAATGTTTAACTGCAAACACTATCAGGACAATTATAAAAACCTCTTGAAGCTACAATCTTATTTAAATATAAGCCATGACGATTTTATTTTCCCTTGTTGATTTAAGTCACCTTTTGATATTTTCCAAGAGAAAAGGACTCGCACTTAAATTTGTATGTACCAACCTCCACATAATGCCAGGAACACGTTCTCCCTACTGTTTTAATTTTAATAGTTTGATAGATTTATGCAAAACCATTTGGTTAAAAAATATATTCTCCCTGTTTACTAAATGTTCAATGTAACGAGACCAGAATAAATGCTGATTACAAATACACATCAGTTTGAAGATTAAGCACATCGACTTCAAAAACCTCGTTGAGTGATATGCTCAAAATTTCTGTAAATACACATAAGCTGAAATGCAATTATACTGTACATGTAAATATATGCTGTCATGTGTACAGTATGTACAAATTCCTTTTCTAGCCACATAAAATCGAAGCCATCAAGAGGAATACTAAAGTGGTATTGTACTAAACCTTTGCTAATGATCTTTACCCAGTCACTTCACTTCTCACTTTCATGGACCTGTCCAATTCACTCCTACGATAACCTGCTTATATTCAAGTTTGTTATTTTACTCAGTCCCGAAAAAAGTATTTTGATTCATTTTGTAAATATGACTGTAAAAATAAGAGATTTAATGTTGTCTTTTAAATACTCCAATTTTCATTCTAATATGAATGTTGTTATATTGTACTTAGAAACTGTACCTTTAATATTACATTACCTTTATTAAGTGCATTGAACACATCGATTTTAGATGTGCTTTATGTACTGTTATCCTGTAATAAAACTTCAGCTTCTAATGGAAAAAAATCTGTCTTAATTTTTTGTCAGTAGCATCTGGTTTGTTTTTCCAAATTGTGGTTTATTAGGCTTACTAGGTTTATTCTTTAAGGAATGAACAGTTACAAGATTAGGCTATGCTACTGAGCACATAGAGCTCTTTAGGCCGTACATCACATAATGTTTGGCAGCAGGGAAACAAGACAATTCCCAAACACCTTGTAAGCTCCCATTTTGGCCAACAAGCACTTTAAAATTCCTTGCAGCGAGTGTGGATCAGTCTAGCTTCCCTCTCCTTGAAGTTGTCTTCCTGTTAAAAATCACAGTTCAGTGCAGAGTGCAAGACAGAAGAAACCTGGCTTTAAGGCCTTCCCAGTGACTCTGGAAATAGCGTGCTCTGGGTTAGTTCTAAATGAGGATCTGGGTATCAAAATTGAGGTTTTACTACAATTTAGGGATCAAAATTCAAAGTGGTAACTGCCCTCTGCTGTGCTAACTTTGGGAGCACCCAAATGTCAGCAGCACACTTTATTCTTCAGACATGCATGATTCTGCTTTTGCACCTAGATCCAGAAATGTTTCCATCTTGACAGAGTTTGAGCAGCTCACTATTTATATGCCTGTCCATGATCCAGAAATACCTACTGACATTCATCTTTGAAGCCCTGTATCTGGGAGCAGCCTTCACCTACAGATCACATATACCAAAAAACCCCCAAACAATAGTGGAAATGTTTGTGTTCTTAGAACTTTAGCATCAAGTAGTGCTACAGAAGTTGGTTCTACAGCAGCTCCATGACTAAAGCAGTCTCTGAGACACTGAAAATCCAAGTTTATTTTTCTCATCCTCAAGACATCATTCCTGCCCAATCTTCTACACAAAGGTGAGATTCAAATCACCAAGATACAGGTTAGGCAACAACTGTTCACGTTCAGTGTAAAATGCAGGAGACAAACTGAGGACTCCCATGGCCGCCCATAAGGAAAACTGAACTGCAGGTTAGGAGGTGGCAATTTTGACCCCTATTTCACAGAATGGTTGAGGTTGGCGGGGACCTCCAGAGGCCACAAGCAGGGCCACCTACAGCCACTTGCTCAGGACCACATTCAGACGGCTTCTGAGTTATCCTCCAATGATGGCAACTCCACAACTTCCCTTGGCAACCTGTGCCAGTGCTCGATTACCCTCACCATGAAAAAGTGTTTCCTGATGTTCATGTTTATGTCATGGAACTAAAAGGATCACATCTAGGAAGAAGCCCCATTAAAAGAGAGAGATGCAGACTGAAGTAGGACATAACCGGACACAGTCAAAACCAGTCTTCTAATCTTTAGGCTACATAACTGCTACCCTGGCAGCAGTTTTGAAGTAACATTACTTTATACAAGGATACCTGCAGGACTGGAGTGGACCCAGTAATGAGAAATCCTTCCACTACTCAAGGGATACACAAACCAAAAAAGTCCAGAATTTAAATCAAACAATGTCCTTAAAAATGATCTGCAAGCAACCTTTGCTAGTGATTTTAGATAGCATTCTGAATCATCTCAGTATATTTTATGTATTTAATGCCCAGAGTTTGTTGCGGGATTAGGTGCTGTGAACACTTTGATCACTTCATGCCGTAATACTCACTTCCCTCTTCATGTTCCAACTATGGACATGTGCAGGGGATCACCTTTTCTTGTAACACATGTAAATGAGTTTCCATCACCCAGACCTACAGAGGATGTTTGAATTCCACATTTCACCACACTGGGAAGCCCGATCATCACTTACGGGGTTGGGGCTCTGCCTACACGGTTAACAGTGAGCCAGCCAGACGGGAAGCTCGGGAGAGGAGGGAAGCTGATAAAGGCAGCGACCTCCGCGGGGCACCTCAGCCCTCTGACGCACGGCCCAACGCCCCTGAGGGACAAGCCACCCGGCACACCCAAGGTAGGAACTGACTCTCGGGGCACCAAACACCCGGTCAGGGAACACCTTAGCGAAGAACGTGCGGTCGGAGCGGAGCCCACGGCGCGGACAGGCCCCAGGCGCGCTTCATCTCCCGGCGAGAAGAGGCGGGACGGGCTCGGCCCGCCCAGCAGGAGTACCGCCTGCCACAAGATGGCCGCCGCACCCTCTCACCAGCCGCGGCGCGATCCCGCGTTGCCATTGGCTGACTCAGGGCACCTGAGCCCGCGAGCTCTCTGCGCTGATTGGCCAATGCCGTGAGGCAGGCTCGCGCGGCAGAAAGCCGAGGACCCGGCGAATGCTCCGCCAAGATGGCGGCGGGGGCGCAGCTGCTGTCCTGGTGAGTACGTTTGTTCCTCCGGCCCTAACCCCGCGGGGCGCCGCTGAAGAGCAGGGCCCGGGATAGGCGGCCGCTCGCCCCGCGCTGGCCTCCGGGAGAACGCCGCACGGGAACCCGCATGCGCCCGGCGGCAGCGGGGGCGGCCTGCGCGCCCTCGCGCGGCTGCCTCCGCCCCGTCACTGAGGGATGGCGGGATGGCGGGAAGGAGCTCAGTGTGTCTTGCGCTGAGGGGAAGCAGGGGCTGAGGCTGTCCTTCCCGTGAGGAGGAGTTGGCTTGCACGCTTATGGACGGTCTGAAATGAGGGGTGGTTAAGTAATGCGTGTCCACAGTATGGGTTTGGGGTTGCGGCGTTGTGGTTTTAATACGAAGAGCCCTGCGCAGGCTTTTCCTATAGTAGTTTGGCTGTTTAAGCCTAGAGAAGTGAGTTTGGTCTGAGTTAGTTTATTCATGAGGAAGAGAAATAAATCGTTCCTTACACCTTTCAGAATAGATTGGGAAGACTGGCATCGTGTAAACCCTGTACACTGGAAGGGCTGTATTTAAAACGAAATAATTAGTAAGGTCTGTGTAGAAGGTAAAGTTTATCGCCTTTCTGAAAATTTAAAAGCAGTACTGTTGTATTTTTCTCAAAATTCCAGAAGTTCAGCCCAGTGTTCGGTTTTGATTAATGAGCACCTGAAAGCATTGTATCTCCATGGGAATTCCTCTCACCAGACCTAGAATTTATATCTAGTATTTATAATGAAATTTTTACTTTTGGACTGTGAAGAATATGTGGTTTTTAGTAGGGAATTATGTAACTTCCATATAGAGGGAATGTGGAAAGACAGTAGATAGCTTTTTTCCTTTATTTTTTTAATAACTCATTCTCATCTTTGTTTCTCAGGAACACGTGGGTCTGTGATTGTTTTCTGTATTGCAATGTTCTTGGGTTTTGTTTTTGTTTCATTATCAGGGATATTTCACCAAAAAATGGCAGTGAAGTGTTTTTCTCACATGAAATTTATGAAAAATACTCATTGGCTCCGAGCCTCGCTGAATTATGGCATTTATCAAACAGGTATATTCTGGTATATTATCATTTTGTGCTGTTGTCATCTGAGTAATACACACTGTTATGGGGGAAATCTGCGTGTTATCTGGCATGCCAGGATGTGTTACTGATGCCTTGGTCCAGCCATAAATATGTACCTGTTGTGAAACCTCAGAAAGCAGGAAGAATCTGGGTTGGGACCTTGGGTCTTTTGTGGGATCGGGTGGTATGTGGGGGGTCTTGGAATGGGGTTTGGGTTATTTTTTGGGGGTGGTGCTTTTTGCTGCTTACATACCAAAGAGGGGTGAAGTTTGATGCACGCTTAACTGGTCAGGGTAAGGATCCTGTAACCCATGAACCAGCCCTAATTCTTTTTGGAAATTAATTTTTTGCTGTCTGTCTGTGTTTTCTCACTTAGTAGTAGGCTGATAATAGTGTACATTGAAATCCTTTTTACTTGTATCTTTTGGAATTAGCCAGCACTCTAAACACTCAACACTGTCTTAGGTATAGTGGAGATGCAGTTAATTCCTTGAGTAATGAAGAGCCTGTGTAGAGTGTTAGTTGAAGAATGGAAATGAAATTACATGAACACAGTAGGCACAGGCAGTTTTGATGTATTTAATTTTTCTGGAGTTGGAGTTAGCATTTGTTTCACATAGAGAAAGGCATGACTCATGCTGCTGGATTTCAGAAGTTGGAGGACTGTTCAGCCTATTGGCTTTTCAAGAAGTCATTAATCTGGTAGAGAGGTACAAGTGGCAAGTGTCTCATGGTGGATGAACCACCACAAAGAGCGTAGATGGAGACCAAGGTAGCTACTGTGCTCTAAGTGGGGAGCTCAGTACGTGGAAAATTTGTTCTGAAGGGGTATTTTTTTGTATATGAACTGACATTTAGAAATGTCCCTTTGGGGGGAATACCTTCTTGCAACACATGAGACTATATCCCACATCTTTAGCTAGAAAAGTTTTTTCTGGTTCATCTCTCTTAGAGCAACTTTCTTTGAACTGGCAGAGATGACCACAGCCCACTCTCTCAGCTTGTTGCTGGGTGTTGCTGTGGGACCTCTTCCTTTAGATGATGTGGGAAAAGGGTTTCTGCAGTAGACATGGCTGAACTCAAGAGCAGGATTGAATTTAGTTTTATGTGGTAGAAGTGGGTTTATAGCCAGAAGAGAGACTGCAAACAGAAAAATTCAGAAACTGATGGAGCAGGGTTGTGTGGCCATACTCTAGGAGAAGAGAAATGGAACCTAATGGGGCAAAATGTGAAAGTAAAAGCTCAAGGAAATTCGTCCATTTTTATATTGGGGTTTTTGAGAGAAACATACACCTCAGGAAATATCTATCACCATAGAAGCTATGACGGCAGGTGGCTTCTAAAATGCAGGGGGGAAAATTCAAGCTGGTGGCTCAAATGAAGTATAATGCTGTAAATATGGATAGAAAAGCTCTGTAAGATTATTTTGTTTTGCACCCTGATGAAGACTGTGACAGCATTGCATACTGAAATGATCTTGATGTGCTGCCATTTCATTCAGTGCTGAATATAGCCAATTTAAGCTGCTAGAATTTCTTGATGTTCCTACATTGGCATATCTGAGTCAGCATCTTGTCACTGCTGCAGCTTAATTAAATTTGCCAGTTTGTGCCATGGGGATGGACACATTCTTGTATTCAGAGAGACAGCTGTGAAGTGTTATTAAGAACTGAAGATGTGATACTGCTGGGTTTGAATGGCACTGGAGGTGTTTTCTACTGCTGAAATCATATCTTAAAAATAAGCTTTTTCCAAGATCAGCAGTTAATGCTCATTTTGTTAACCTTAAGTATTTTCTCTCTTAAGAACAGTCATTTTAAATAGAGAAGCACTAAGATGGCCTTCATATACTGGTATTTTATTAATAACCAAATAAATTTTGTTACTTCTTTGTTGTTAGGACAGCTACCCTCCTTGCCTTAGCCCAGTATTATTATTTTGGCCGCTGATTTCAGCATTGCTTACAGTAGAAAATGAAACTCTTCAATTATGTACACTGTTTTTAGGAATTTCTTCATTGAAATCCAAAATTTCAGTGTTACAGTTAAGCATTTTTAATTTACTTCTTTTACAGGGAAAGAAAGGCTTTTTCTAGTTAAGTTATTCTCCTTTACTGTAACTTTAATACATAAGCAAGACCTTTCTGAACACCAGCCATCAGTGAATGGTGAAATGCAGAGACTCTATGTTTTCATTCATAATGACTGTTTCTAGAACAAAGAGTGAGAGTTTCATATTTAGCTTGTCACCTCAATAGTGAGTATACAGACCAATACATACACCATTTTATAAAAAACCTTACTTTTTTTGTTTTTCCATCTTTCAAACCTGCTGCTGGCAGTCAGGGTTGGTCTGGTTGTCCAGGTGGAATTTCAGAGTAAGAAAATTCCTATGATACAGACTAGGAACTGGAATAGTACACTATCTCACACTGCATTTTGCTGGATTTGCAGTTCAGGCAATTTGCATGATTGCTTTATTACTTGTAACAAATGTGTTATTAGCAAATATTTTTACACAGCAAATGTGAAAAGTGTATGGTCTTTTATTTACTGCTTCACTTTCAGAGGGGCAAAGAAAAATGAAGAGGCCTTGGCAGACTCTTCAGAAAACAAACGGAATTGTAGCGTGCAGGCTGCAGATCCACTTGAGGTGGAGGCTAAAACCGGAACTGATGGTCATCCTTTTCCAGAACCTAGACTCCCCTATCCATTTACCTCTTCTTTGACTCAGAAGGAGCAGAAAACATACCTTTATCTGATGACTAAGTACTCAAAAACCCCAAACCATTTTCAAGTTAATGCAGCAAGTCAGAGAGAATTATTCACGTATCTGGTAAGTGTGTAAATGTGAACATCACAGAGGGAGTCAACCATTTTTCTTTTGTTACAAAGAGTTAAAGAAAATATAGCAGAAATGTTTTTAAATCTAATTTGTCATAATTACCTTTTAATGTAGTATTATGAATAATAGTAGTAATAATAATAATAGAGGTTTAAAGTATTCAGGATAACATTTTTAATATAAATTGAAAGAGGTTTTGGTTAGTTCATTGAAGGGAGGTGGTTTTTTTCTACATATTTTTTAGTAGTAGTAGTCTAAGCAACTGATGGTAAGAGTAAATCTTTGATAGTTGATCAGTCACCCACCCCCTAAAGCCCTCACTTTTTTACAAGAAGAAAGTTAGGAGTTGACTTTACTGTGAGTTTAGCATTTCATAATGTCATGTAGCACCTTTGTATAATGTTAGGAGATGGATACCTTTTGATGTGATTTTTGAGGGTACCCTGTAATAGGAACTTTCTTCATTAGCATGTGAGGGGACAGTCTGTGCTTGCCACATCAGTGCTTCTGGGAGTAAAAAGGCACAAAGGTCATATTTGCTGTTTCATTTCAGCAATATTTAAATAGTGAAAGGCTATGTTTCTTGTTGGTAGGAAGTATCATTTTAGTTCAATCCTGTATAATGTAATTAATCAGCAAATGTTTTTAAGCCAATGCATTTGGTTTCCCATGCTTCCTTGTTAATGCTAATTCCTCAATGGGAATGTCATTCTTGGGCAAATCCCCACCTACTGTGGTGTTACTTAAAATGTAATTGCTTATGAAGTCGATGCTCGAATTTCTTTGTGGCTTTATCGTGTAAGCTTTCCCCAACAATGTTTTGTAACCTTTCTTTTTATAAACCACAAGTG